TTAATGTCTAGCGACAATGTTTACACATCACTAGACTTCAAGGTCATAAGATTATTACATTTTATTTGAAAAAGTAAGGTATTTTATGATTTACTAAGATATGATTTCATGAGAAATTGGCCATGTTTAATTTATTTTGCATTTAAGTTCGTAAAACATTAAAAAAAAATCATGGCTCATTTGGAATGGGTCTGGCCCATGTTAAACCCCATTTCCCACACTTTTTTGGAAAAAATGAACTACTGAATATATAAGTTTAACTTTTATTTTGACACTTCAAAATTCTTCTCTGATCTCGAAACAATCAAAGTTTTGACATATATTTACCAAAAGATAAGAAAATTCATGTTTCAAAGTTATCGATAAACAGTAGAGATGTCGGTTTTCTTGGACTAAAAAAAATGGCATCAAACTGAACTTTGGTCTCCGATTTCTCGCAAACGGGTTCGAATTTCGGAAAACCGACTTCAGTCTGGGACATAGGTGGCTCAGCTCTAGTGAAAACCGTTTTGTGGAAAAAAGGTGGCAGTCTACCTTTAACGGCGGACTCGGCAAGGCCGTTTGATCGTGGATAGTGCGGGGACGATGTTACGTGTTTAACACCCCACGTAGCCAAAAACTCGCTGAACTGACGAGACGTAAAAGAGAGGGCGCCGTCAGACCTGAGTAACTGTGGCACACCAACATCCCTGAAGATCCTCAATAAGGCATTGACGACGGCATTGGTGTCCATACGGGTGCCCGTGCATTGTACAAATTTCCACCCCGAGTAACCGTCTACAACAATGAGGTACTTGCCTCCTGCGTGGTCCGCGAAATCAATGTCCAGGATCTGGAACGGGCGGTCAGCAGGTTCGTGTTGCAGCATGGTCTCCCTGGGGTGCGAGGGAAGCTCGCGCTGATACCGGCTGCATCCTTTGATGACAGCCTCGATGCTGGCATCCATTCCTGGCCAGAAGACCACACGGCGAGCGCGTTCTTTTGTTTTTTCCTTGCCGAGGTGACCCGCGTGGAGTGACGTCATCGTCGATCGGCGCAGCGATGCTGGAACGACGACGCGCGTGCCGCACAGGATGAGGCCGTCGTCCACCGACAGCCGGTCGTGCACCGGCCAGTACTTTCGCAACGGCTCGGCGAGGTCTGCCTTTGAGGACGGGAATCCAGCAAAGACAGCGTCCTTGAGCATTTGCAGTTCTGGATCCTCTGCAGTAGCACTCCTCACGCGGTCTAGTAGGAGATCCGTGTGGCTCGCCTGGAGTTCAGCAACCAGGACGGTCCGCGCAGCATGGACGTCGGCGTCTTCTCCGCATTCATCGTCTGTTGTGGCTGGTTGAATCGGACTCCTGGAGAGTGCGTCCGCTGCCTTGTGCCGTGAACCAGGCACCCAGCTGGCAACGAACGGCCCCACCTCTCCCATCTTCATCTTCAGGCGCTGAAGTCTCGGGTTCTCAATCTCGTCCAACGTTTTGCCGTTGATGATGGGTATCAGCGGCTTATGGTCGGTGAGGATCTGGAAGCTCGGAAGCCCAGCGAGAAAGATGCGACATTTCTTCAAGGCCCACACAACAGCGGTGGCTTCCAACTCGATGGTGGCGTATCGGGATTCTGTCGTTGATAAGAACCGTGACCCCGCCTGAATGACACGCCAGTTGCCGTCCTGCTGCTGTTGCCGGAGAACGAACCCGATCCCTTTGAGGCGGCTAGCGTCGGTCGAGAGCGAAGTCGGCCGACGGGGGTCGAAGTACGCCAGAGTCGGGATTGACGTCAGCGCCGCCCTGGCAGACGCGAACGCCCGCTCATGCTGCTCGTTCCAGATGAATTCGTTCCTGGGGCTCAGGAGTGGTCGAAGTGGCGCGAGAAGCTCCGACAGGCTGTCCACAAACGGGGCGACCTGGTTCACAAGGCCAAAGAAGCTCCTCAGCTCGGAGATGTTTTGCGGCGTCGGAAACGACGAGATGGTGGAGGTCATCTGCGGGTCCGGCCGGTATCCTTCTTGAGGTGGATCTTGAACTGTTCCCCCGGCATCACTCGGATGTGGCCGTCGAACACGGTGGGAAACTCCGATGGGATGTCCGGGAACGGCGGGTCCGGTCCCCAGGCGGGGCGGAGTCACCACCCGACGGCGGGTTCGGTCCTCCAGATGTGGACTCGCCGCCCGATGCCAACGAGGAGCCTCCAGACCGCGCAGAGGTCACATAGGCGACTCGGTCCGTGCTGTCACTGTCACGGTCACCAGACGTGGCATCGGGGTCCGCTATCAGGACATCAGACGTTCGGGAGTGGTGGAGCCCATCAGAAGAAGACGCATCAGTAGACGTCTGCACTCCGTCAGATGCTGCAGAGCGGGAGTGGTGCCGCCGCTCCACTCGCTGTGCTTCACTGATCTGCTGCGGGTAGTCGTCCGGGACGATGTGGAGGTTCCTGACGGCCTTCCAGGAGAGCAGCAGACCGTTGACGCCTTTGAGGATGTGGACAACTTCATCTGTAGAGACCCGTCCGAGAGATAGGGATACTGGCAGGATTCCGAGCGACGTGACGGTCTCGCCATTTGCAGTGCGCGGGTGTTGCTCGGGCGGTAGCAGGTTCTCTGGATATTCGTCCATCTCTTCCAAGAAGTCGAGCCCTCCAACGCAGATGTCGGCCCCGGTGTCGGGGAGCGCGAGAACAGAAACGTTCCGCTGTGCCGTGACGTTCAGGCGAATCCTAGGAGCGCTCTGCACTGAAGCGACCGCGATGATGGTCGATGCACACGGCCGCCGCGCGCCACGGTCCGGGCTTCGGTCAACCCTGCCCTCAGGGGAACGGAAGCGGACTCGCGGGCTGCGCGGGGACCGACGGGCCGGGTGGTGAGGTCCCGAGTCCCGACGGCGACGGAGACCGAGGCGGCGACTGGTTCCCCTCCGACTCACAGTCTCGTCGTGGGGATGAGTCCCATTGTCGACGCCGGTCCAGGTAGTACGCGCGCTCGCGTCGTTGTCCGGCCGGGCTGGTGCACACGGCGGAGAAGTGGTCCAGCTGTTGGCAGTTACGACAGCGCTGGCCCCGCGCGGGGCACGTCCGTCCCGCCGGGTGGCGCCGCCGGCCGCATGCACCACACCAGCTGTTGTTGCGGCACCGCCGCGAGGCGCTGCGGCCGCGCTCGGCGGCATCCACGCGGTGCGCGGAAGCCTGGGCGCCCCCGCTGGAGCGCAGCTCCGCCGCGTCTCGGGAAGCCGCCTCGTCCGCCCTGCAAACAGCGATTGCATGAGCCAGAGACAAGCCCTGGACGGAACAGAGACACTTGACAGTCTCTGCGGATCTCCGACCCATGACAATTCTATCCCTTATCAGCGAATCGTTACACGCATGGCAAAAATTGCAAGCACGGGATAATTCGCGAAGGGAAGTGAGAAAATCATCAAAGACCTCCCCTTCAGCCTGAAACCTTTCGTTGAATTTCTTTCTCTCGATGACCTCGTTCACTTGTCCGACCGCGAAACGCTCCAGAGCGGTCAGGACGGCTCCTGGGTCCGCTCGTTGGGCGTCAGTTAGCTCGAGGTTCCTCAGCACGCGTCTGCTCTCCGGCGTCATAGAGTTTTTCAATGCCGCGAGCTGAATGCTAGACGGTGCGTCTATGAGGCCCGTCAGAAGAACGTTATCATCCCAGGCCTCTCTCCACACATGGAACGACTCACCGCGGTCTGTTGAGAGGTCCAAACTGTCAGGTGCTCGAACTCGGCCAGCCCAGGGCGCCGGAGCACTGCGCGGCACGACCGGCGCGCTAACGACGCCGTCTTCCCGCTCCGTCATTCTTGCTTCTTGTATAGCCCACCGCTAAAGTAATGTAGGGTTTTACCAATTTCAACGGTTGGCTTTGACTGGCGATTGTTTAATGCGGAGTGATCGAAAAGAAGATGCCAATAGCTAAAGTTGCAGCTGCAAGGGTGACGATACATATACGCTACATTCAAAGTTTCATTGTAGTCTGGCTAATCGTTCCTAAGCTTCAGAAGCAGAACATACCCATGACTGAAACCCCACATTACTTCTGCTGTGGACTGTACACTCGTGTTATGGCCAGGTTTTCACGACCCTGCCGGCTGCGCCATGTTGAGACGCCAGGCAGTCGGTGATCGTCTGTATTGGACACCAGCCAAACGCACGCGACCTCTGTCCGGCTCCGACTCACGCGCCCCGTCAGCGGCTGACCGGCGGCCGGCGCACACATATAGCCCGGGGCATAGTGGGCCGCCAGTAGGGATGCAAACTCATGGCGGCATCACACCACCACAGGGTCACAAGGTAGTTCCTTGTTGGGACTATCCGACACCGTTTGCGGCTTGTCGCTATGTTGCGTGGTTCTCGAGATCTTAGGGGGGGGGGGCAAATTCCCCCCCCCCAACAAGGCGCGTTGCTCGGCAGGCCCCAACGGGGCGTGGGTTAATTCAAGCCGTATCTTATGACACCAACTGCATTTTCATCATGTCAGGTTACTGACCTTTGACTCCAAAAGTGAATCTCTGCAGGGTCATAAAATGTCACAACTGCTCTCGGTGCCAGATGAGTTTTCACAGGAGAGTAAAACTCACAGGACTTCGCATCTTCCAGAGGCCTAACTGCTTGTATATATTCAAAGTAGGTACGTTTTTCGGCTACTAGTCGTTTATTGTTTTCGTTTCGAATTTTCAACCTTTGCATCGAGGTCGTTGTCAAGAAACATATAACAATGACAATGACATGCATCGTGAACACGTTTGAAAAATACGTTTTAAAAAAATACGTTTTTAGATATGATGACCGTACTATTTTTCAAACGTGTTCACGATGCATGTCATTGTCATTGTTAAATGTTTCTTGACAACGACCTCGATGCGAAGGTCGAAAATTCGAAACGAAAACAATAAACGACTAGTAGCCGAAAAACGTACCTACCTTGAATTAAGATGTCTAGTCGTAAAAGCTTGTAATCATATTTATCCTGCGACTCGCTGCTTCCATAACAATAAAAGCTGGTATGTGGAAACGGGACTGTATTTTCTGGTACACACGTCACATTTTTACAGATACGTGATCCGACGTTGGTGAGGTGCAACGCCCAAAATACAGTCCATAAGACTTATGTCAACCTTCCAGACAAGGTGTAGTGAACAGCTATCAATGAAAACAAAATAGGTACACATACATTCCTAAACCGGGTTTTTAAACAGCATTCACGAGTCACGAGTCATACCATGTACAGTACCATTTTCACCGATTTTCTCACGCACAGATAATACGTAGGAGGCAGCAGGGGTGGCGGTGGGGATGCGCGCGCTCCGTCCACCACTGTGACCGGTCACCGAATAGGCAGTCTGCCGCGCTCCGACCCGCGAGGTCGGGCGCGTGACCTCATAGCACAATCCCGCGCAGCGGGCCGCCCGATAAAGCCATTTTGTGCGAGGCCCATGGCCTCAAACGAAATAAGCATTTATCCTGCGACTCGCTGCTTCCATAACAATAAAAGCTGGTATGTGGAAACGGGACTGTATTTTCTGGTACACACGTCACATTTTTACAGATACGTGATCCGACGTTGGTGAGGTGTGTATCGATATGTTGAGTCGCCTATATCGATATGTTGTGGGTCGCCTTTTGTATCGATATCAACGTGTGGGCCAATAAAGGCGTGACGTGTCACTTGCTGGCACGGCACGGAGCACGAAACATGGCGCAGCCTGTGGTGAACTTGTGGTTTTGATTTCTTATTTTTGGTGGGGTAAAAGCAACTTGAAGAAGTGTAAGAAAGCGAGAAGAAGCAAGACAACATCAAGCAGTGATGTCTGGATTTACCCCACCAGAACAGTTTGATTTTACTTCACCAGAGCATTGGCCTCTGTGGCGCGACCGCTTCAGACGATATCGCCAGGCGTCAAAGCTAAATCTCGATGAGGAGGAAACCCAGGTCAGTGCACTTGTTTATGCAATGGGGCCAGAGGCTGAACATATTATTTTGAGCATAGCAGCTTTCCCTCACAACAATTTTGAAGCTGCTGTGCGCTGTTTTGATGGGTACTTTACCCCAAAGAGAAATGTGATTGCTGAGAGGCATGCTTTTGAGATTAGAACACAAGGCGCTTCCGAGTCGAACGAAAGCTACATTAGAGCAGTGCATTGCCTTGCCGAACACTGCCAGTTTGCTGACAAAAATGAAAGGATCAGAGACCGTCTGATAGCAGGAATGAAAGATAAAAATATGTCCAAGCAGATTCAGTTACGAGCTCTGGATTCAGATGTGACTCTTGAAGTTGTGGTGCAGATGCTTCGTAATCATGAACTCGTGCATGACCCGAGTACCACAGACAATGTGAACAGGATTGAAAGCAGAGCGAGATACAAGCCAGCACCACATCAAGCAAGACGCCCAAGCCAGCCTGGACCAGCTGTTGGACGAAGCCAGAGCCAGCCAGATCCAGCCTCGTCCAGACCAAGATCAGGTCGTGGACGAGCAGGCAGAGGATCAGTACTCTCCACAACATGCAGGTATTGTGGAAGGAGGAGGCATACCAGTCCGCAGCAATGTCCAGCCCTGGGGAAAACCTGTTTCAAGTGTGGTGGCAGGGACCACTTTGCAAATGTTTGCTCGGGTTCAAGCCATAGAGTTCAGAGTGTCCAATGTGCCCCAGATACTGAACATGATGAGGACCAGGAGGAAGGTTATTTTCTTGGGGTGGTTGAAGGGCACAAGAGCAAGGACTGGACAGTTTCTGTTGAGGTTGGTCAAAGCCAAGTCAGTTTCAAAGTGGACTCTGGTGCAGATGTTAACGTCATGTCTCTCCAGCAGTATGAGCAGATGGTGCAGAAGCCAGACCTGCTGCCCACCTCAAGACAGCTGACCAGTGTTGGTGGTGCCCTTGATGTCCTGGGAGTATTCAGTGCAACCATCAAGTACAAGCAGGTGAGCCTTGAGAATGAACATTTCTATGTTCTGGACACTTCTCAGAATCTGTTGTCACGCTCCACTGGAGAGAGGCTCGGAGTGATTGAATTCACTGGAGAGGTGAGACTGTCTCAGAATGTGTTTGGTCCAACTGGTTTGATGAACACATCACCAATCAAAATCAGGCTTGTTGATGATGCCGTACCCTCTGCTGTGCATACTGCTCGTAATGTGCCATTCCCACTGCTGAAGTCGGTGAAACAGGAACTGGAGAGAATGGAAGATGCTGGAATCATCAGGTCAGTCTCAGAACCCACTGACTGGTGTGCACCTATGGTGCCCGTTCCCAAGGGTGGTGGTTCAGTCCGCATCACGGTCGATTACAAGAACCTGAACAAGTGTGTGAAGAGAGAGATCCACCCTATCCCCACCGTGGAACAATTGACAGCTGAACTTGCAGGTTCGAGCATCTACAGCAAGCTGGATGCCAGCTCGGGGTTCTACCAGCTCCCACTGGACAGGGAGTCACAGCTACTGACCACTTTCCTCACCCCATTTGGCAGGAAGGCATTCCAGCGGCTTCCAATGGGGATAAACCTGGCGCCTGAATGTTTTCAGAAAAAAATGCAGGAAATGCTGGCTGGTCTCGATGGTGTACTGATATACATGGATGACATTGTTGTGTACGGTGACAGTGTGACGCACGACGAGCGTCTGCAGGCAGTTCTCCAGCGGATCGAGTCATCCGGGCTGAAGCTGAACAAAGCGAAGTGCGAGTTCAAGAAGGACAGCATCATCTTCTTGGGCCAGAAGATCAGCAGCAGAGGAGTGGAACCGGATCCTGCCAAGCTCGCAGCAGTGAGGGAACTGCAGGCGCCACAGAACGAGCAGGAACTGAGGAGCCTACTTGGAACCGTCAACTATCTGGGTAAGTTTGTGCCCCAGATTCAAAGCAAGCTGAAACCCCTAAACGACTTGTTGAAAAAGGATGTAGCCTGGGTGTGGTCCCATGTTCAGCAAAAGGCTCTTGACGAAGTAAAGCAGATGCTAACTGGTGCTCCTGTGTTAGCTTTCTATGACCCAACCAGAGAGACCATTGTGAGTGCTGATGCGAGCAGCTATGGCATCGGTGGCTGTGTGTTGCAGCGACAACCCGACTCCCAGCTGAGACCCGTTGCGTTTTGTAGCAGAACGCTGACCCCATGCGAGCAACGATATGCTCAAATTGAAAAAGAGTTATTGGCTGCTGTCTGGACGTGTGAACGAATGCACATGCTACTGTCTGGTCTACCACAGTTTCGACTTGAGAGTTAGATCATAAACCGTTGATTCCGTTGATCAACTCAAAGAGCCTAGTCGACACACCTGTTCGATGCCAGAGACTTTTGATGCGTTTGACAAGGTACAATCCAGTCGCCACCTATGTGCCTGGAAAGCAGCATGTTGTACCAGATTACCTATCCCGGCATCCCTGCAAAGAGACCGACAATCTCGCCACTGTCTTGCAGAATGACGTCAGCGATTACGTGTCCGGCGTGATCGGCAGCCTGCCCGTGAGTGATCACCGCCTGGAGGAGATTCGGGTGCTGCAGGAGAGGGATGATGACATGTGTCGTGTCACCCAGCAGACTCTTCATGGCTGGATGGAGGGTCCAAGGGCCCTGCAGGACTACTTCAGCGTCCGGCATGACCTGAGTGTGGTGCACCTGTCGTCAGGCCCTCTGCTCCTGTACCGCAACCGTCTCGTCATCCCTTCGAGTATCAGGTCAGAGATTTTGAATAAGTTGCACAATGATGGCCACTTTGGTCTATCCAAATGCCGACAACGAGCTGACCAATCAGTCTGGTGGCCCGGGATCTCTGAGGATCTGAAGAGACATGTCAGCCAGTGTCAGTTTTGTCAGATAAACAGTCCACAACAGCATCGTGAGACACTCATACCGACTCCCGTCCCAGTGTCTGTGTGGAGTCACATTGCCTGTGACATCTGTCATCACAGCGGTCACGATTACCTGATTACAGTGGATGTGCTCAGCAGATACCTTGAGATTCAACGTCTTCCCCGTCTCACGAGTTCGGCGGTAGTAGAACGACTCAAAACGCTATTCGCCCGCCATGGAATCCCCGACATGGTAACATCCGATGGTGGAACTCAGTTCACGTCACATGTGTTCCAGAACCTGTCCACCGAGTACGGTTTCCGGCATCGGATAACCGACCCTCACACGCCGTCTTCGAACGGCGCCGCTGAGCGCGCCGTAAGGACGGCTAAGTGGCTCCTCCGCCAGCGGGACCCGCATCTGGCGCTGCTCAACTACCGCGCTACGCCGGTGGAGGCGACAGGCCAGTCGCCTGCTCGTCTGCTCTTTGGACGCGAGATCCAGACTCGGCTTCCGCGTCCGCGGGTCGTCGAGTGTCAGGACTCTACACTCGACGCCGCGAGGAGGAGAGATGGCGAGAGGAAGGAGCTTCAACGAAGGAGCTTCAACAAGCATCACGGAGCTCGCGACTTGCCGCCGTTGCGGCCTGGGGATGTAGTGCGAATGCGAACAAGGATCGAACCGGACTGGAGCGAGCGAGTGACAGTGCGTGAGCGGATCGGGCGACGAAGTTATGTGGTAGATAACAATCGTCATACAGTGAGGCGCAATCGAGGCGCCCTGCGCCTGTCACCGGGGATCGAGCCTCCCACGGGCTCGTCGGACCTCCCGGTGCCCTTGTCGGTGCGGCCGTCGCCGGGCGTGCCTGTTGGTGTTTCAGTGCGGCCGAGCCCGACTGTCTCGATGCCGCGGCCGGCTATCTCTCCGCCGGGTCAGACGCCGGAGCCCTGTCCTTCCGCAGCGGCGAGTCCGAGCAGGACCCGCAGCGGCCGGCTGTACGGGTCGCGTTCGTGATCCCCTGTACGAGTAGGTCGTAGTCTGTCTGTTGTACCGTTTTGCTTTTTTGGGGGGAGATGTATCGATATGTTGAGTCGCCTATATCGATATGTTGTGGGTCGCCTTTTGTATCGATATCAACGTGTGGGCCAATAAAGGCGTGACGTGTCACTTGCTGGCACGGCACGGAGCACGAAACAAGGTGCAACGCCCAACCCCCCACACCGAAACACCGAAGGAGCACAAAATAAATCGCAGCACCTGCGTCGAAAACGCTGACAAATATATGAACACAAAGCACGCTGCTATATGCGGAAAAGGGGAATCACACCTGTTACAGGCTGGCATTGCGACGTGTCGGAAAGCACCCCGAGTCGGGAGAAGAAACTCCGCGGCTGCTGGAATACTGTCAGCAGCCGTGTCGAGAGCTCTGCCCGTCGGCGGTGTTGCCGCGCCGCACAGCCGAAAAAAAAACGAAACTTCGAAATAGCTCGCCATCATAGTAGCCCTGCTAGCCAATCTACTGGCGGTCACCCATGCTAATGGCGAGTAAGGAAGTCGGCCGTCGAAGGTAGTTATTAATGGCAGAGGACCGCCACCGGCCTGCTTCCCGGAGCTGCATCTCAGACATGCCCTGTTGCGCGGCATGAGACGCACCTCCTATCCGAAAACAGTGCCCCCCCCCCAGCTTGTTGTTGGGGATACCAGCGAGGTGGCCGGCACGTTTGAGCAAAACGGACATGCGTCGTGATGTCAGCGGACGCTGGCAGCTGGACAAAAATAAACAATCGCTGGAGGCTCCAGCCGGGCGCAGCTGCAGATATTCAAACATCGCTCTGACTGGGCATGCCACGACGTCTGGGCGTGCCTGCAGAACAACGTCGAATGGTACGTACGAAGTTTTCGACGTTGGAATGGTGACGGTCATACGATCGCCCTGGATTTGCACGTTCCTGCGCTTAATGGTGTGCGATGGATTTCCACCAACGGACACCTCGCCTGGCCTAAGCATGGCAAAAAAACGCGAGGGGAAATGCTGCTCGTAGCGCTGCTCTTTCTATGGGATGAACAGGGAGCGTGTTGAGTGCTTCGCACAGGCCCCGGAGCTCCGTGAGCGCTAGCGCCGCGCGGAGATCGCAGCTGGGGCGCAAGCGCCGAGCGCCCGCCAGCATCTTGCGCACGCGGAAGTCTGACGTCGGGTCGGCCAGACCCCTAATGCGATGGGCATAAGCAATTGCTGAGCAGTGAGCAGCGAGCGCTGCAGAGCCGCAGCCGCCGTGAAACCTGTCAGCCAGAAAGTCGGCCACCTCCGAAACAGTGATGGGCAGCAGCCGAGCAGGATACGGCCGTCGGAGGAATTGCCCAACTGCGCGCCACGTACCCTCATATGCCCGGAGCGTGGTCGTAGCGAGGGCTGCATTTGCCAGTGTAGTTACTGTCGCAGCATTGCGAAGTCCTGCCAGTCCCATGTCGTGGCACTGTCGTCGGCATGCGGTCGCAATCTCCGGAACACCTGTGTGCACCCACGGGACAGCGCGTCAGGCGCATCGTTCCGCCGTCCGGCAACATGTTCAGCACGAATCAGGATATCATGCGTGACGGCAGTGACAAACAGGTGACGGAGCCACACCATACTCTGAACTGAACGTGACGATTGGGTATTCAGTGCTGTAACCACGCTACTATTATCAGACCGAACCAAAATGCATTTGTGCTTTAGAGAATCTGACCAAACATGGACCGGGACCACTACTGCCACTAATTCTTTGACGCCAATGTCGGCGTCCTGTAGCCAATCAGGCCAGCGGCCCACGAGCCAGCGATTGCCACAGATGGCTCCCAGCCCAATTGTCCCTGCCGCGTCTGTCTCCAGCAGAAGCGCAGGATCACTGAGCCAGCGACGTCGGTCCAGCAGGGAGCGCCCATTGAACTCAGACAGAAACGTCAGCCATGCCCGCAAATCAAGACGGGCAGCTTTGGTGATCGTGACCCTGTGGAATGGCCGGCGAGCCCCGCGGCAGAGATCAAACATGCGACGCAAGAAAGGCCGTCCCAGCGGCACTACCAGGCAGGCAAACTGCAGCAGGCCGACACAGGACTGCACCTCGCGCAGTGTAGCCTTCCTGCGTTGCAGCAGATCGGAGACAGCAGCACGAGCCCTCAGTAGCTTGTCCTGCGGAAGACGCAGTTCGTTGGAGGCCACGTCGACCTCGACACCGAGGAAGGTCAAGGACCGGCAGGGTCGCACTGTCTTGTGCGGGTGCAGAGGTATATGTAGCTGCTGGCACATAGCAATGAATCCATCCAGAGAAGCAGCACATGCTGCGTGCGAGTTACCGATGAACAAAAAATCATCAAGGACCGAAATAATGTGACCAGCCCCAAATCTGTTCTGCGCTATCCATACCAGGCTATCGCTAATGCATTGAAAAATCTGAGAGCTACTCGCGCATCCCATGGGAAGTGCGCAGTCTTTGTAGATACGACCACGCCATTGGAACCCGAGAAATGCAGTATCGGAGTCCGCAATCGGAACTAGTCTAAATGCGTTGACAATGTCGGTTTTTGCCAAAAAAGGAGAGTCACAAGTTGTGAGAATATCCAGGGCATCGTCAAGGGAGCCATATTGAACACACTTATAGGCTGCCGAGATGTGATCATTCACAGAGTCCCCGGCGGGGAAGGACAGGTGGTGGATTACTCGATATTCACCTGGAGACCTTTTGGGCACAAGTCCGATGGGTGAAACCCTGACCACGCCGCTCCCCAGCGCTGAGAACGGTCCGGCCACCCTACCGGCTGATAGCTCCGCTGCGATGTACCTATCGACCACGGTTGGGGCAGCGCTGCACGAGGGCAGATTGCGAGCTACCACACCGGGGACAAGCTCTTCACTGCCAATCGAAAAACCATTTTTAAAGCCGGTAACAAGGTAAGATTTTAGTTCAGCATCGTAGCCCGACAGAAGCTGCTCAAGAATGTCTGGTGGTACTGCTGGGCTGAAACTGCGTTTCGTGACCGAAGCATTCAGCTTACTTCGTGGCGCCGGGCTCCGCACGTGCGTGTGCTTGTCCAGGGCGTTTTGAGCACCTGAGGACGGAATGCTGTCCCTGACACGTTCGGCACACATGCCGGAACCGGCAGTTCCGGTTGCGACAGCCCCTGATGCCGTTAAAGGCAAAGCAGTAGCGAAAATTGTCTGAAGCAGACGCCCTGTTGTGTGGCGGCTGGCCTCTGGCCGCTCCACCCATGCCGCGGGCTATGGCCTGAAGCCACATCTGCGAGGCTGGAGCTGTCTCCCCCCATCGATGCCCCGCCGGGTCGACCTCGCGAGCTTGGCGGAAGCTTTGGTCAAATTCCCGCCATGCAAACCCCAGCCCTGGTGTCGCCAGCTGGCTCACCTGTTGCATGTGTTTCATGAGCCCCAGGGCATCGGCGGGATGCGCGTCAAGGTATACGGCTGCAAACCTTATAAAAGCCGCACACCACGCTCCAAACGAGCTGATAGTGCGCCGGGCGCGAGGCTCGGCACGGAGGATCCCGTTGATGAGCTGAAACTTGTTTCCCAGCTCACCTTGGGCGTTTTCCTGAGAGTCTAGCATGCTGCCTAGCTCTACGAACTTATGATCTATTATTTTTTGCCTGATGGAGGCCGCCACCGCCGCAACAAGTGAGACACTATCACCATTGAAGCCCACTGTACCTGTCCCCATATCCACTCCTGTATCGATGGGCGCGCCAGGGTCCAGTGCCCCCGACGTGTCGTCCAGCGAAACAGAGTTGGCTCCAGCAGGGGCAGCTCCTGGCAGCGACTCTTGCACCACTTGTCTGACGATCTCACGCAGCTGCCCGGCGTCGATGGTGAGGGTTGGCGGTGCGGTGGAGGTACCCGAGCAGCCGGGCTCGGCGGCTGGTTCGCGTCTAGGAGGGTCGCCGGCCGCCGAGCGGCGGCCGGCTGAGGCGGCAGCAGACGGGCGGCGCCGCGCTGGCGTGCTGATCGCTGCGCGGCGACCGGCCGAGAGCGCCGTGTGCAGCGAACTTCCCCCGCCTGCCGCACTGTGCGTCCGACGACGAACCAGGCTGGCGCCAGCCGCCTCCCTCGCTGCGGAGGACGCCGCCCTGGTACGTGCTGCCGTCCTCGGCATCTCCCGATCCGCATGAAAAGAAACGAAAACACACGTTTAGCGGTTGGGGCTCCATGGGGCCTGTATTAGCACAACCATCCACCCACAACACACCTACCTACACACATATCACATTGTAACGATAAACACCTCTCCTACTCGGCGGGAACAAAATAAAAACCTGAACGCCCCATGGGCCGCGCAGTTTAGGCAGCAGCGATGCTGTTAAACAGCTGCTGGAGCTGCCTCCAGCCTGCTGGTGAGGGGTGGACACCATCCCTGCCTAAGAAGGAGTCAGCCATCGGGAGGGTACACATCTTGAATTGGGGCGCCGCCACTGGCCTGCGGAACAGCCGTCGTAGGACCTGGTTAAGAATCCGCCGCCGCCGTCGATAAATCGACGCGGACACACTGCCGGCACGCGCTGCCACCCGCGGAGGTATGGGCAGGATATGCACCGTCTCAGCACCGGCGGCAGCTATGCCGAGGACCAGCTCCTCGAAATACAGGCTGAGAAGCCTAGGGCTGAACTGTGGGCTGGCCACATCATTGCCTCCGACAATGACCAGGACATCCGAAGGCTGCCTTGTTCTGATCGCCCAGCGTCGAAAGTCCTCGTTGCTAAGCCGCGCACCTCTCCAGCCAATGGCCTGGACGTCAGAGTCCAGGTCGCACCGATATCGCGCCCAGTGCGCATAACTGTCGCCGAGTACCAGTAGCATGCTCCTGAAAATAGCATTGTTGTAAGGAAAAATGTTTACGTTAATACTTGGCCGCAAAGATCGGATCATTGAAATAAGCGGTATCACCAATGTGGGCACCGCCAGCCTGGGTGAGGTGCCACCGATATTAAAACCGGAGTGAGCAACTGGGTGTCGCAGACCTCGTCGCGACGGTG